TACTAGTTGAATAAATTTTTAATAGGTGGTAGGTGGTTAAAAATTTATAATGGAATTTTCACATTTCATGCAGATTTAATTAGAAATTGCTTTTCATTGGCCTTTTATTCTTAATTTTGAAAATAATTTTGCAGCTGGGATTGGTGTTACTCGAGGCAGGAGAATCATAGTTTGTGGTTTGCCTGTGCTACAGAGTGACTTCAAGGCTATCTTTTAATGGTGACTTGTGATGAAAAGAAATGGTTCATTTTAATGCTATATTACTACACTTTCTGCTTACTTAATGTCTTCCTTTCCCACTTTCTTGTTCTTTCCTTCTCTTTAGACAGGGTTTCCTGCTAGTCCAGACTTTACTGGAACTCCAGGCAATCTTCCTGCCTCAGTCCTCTGAGTGTCAGAATGCTCCTTCTTGACTCCAGGGTTAATGGAGTTATCCTCTATTATTTTAGGAGCTTAATTTTAGTTTTAAAATGGTGTCTTGAATTGCAATCTACCCCGGAACTCACTGGGTAGGCCAGTTTGGCCTCAAATTCAAGGCAATCATCCCGCTTCCACCTCAAGAATGCTGGTGTTAATGACACCCAGGTTCTTTTGTTTTGTTTTTCAAAACAGGGTTTCTCTGTGTAGCCCTGGCTGGCTTGGAACTTGCTTTGTAGACCAGGCTATCCTCAAAGTCAGAGCCCAGCCTACCTCTGCCTCCCCAGTATTGGGATTAATGGTGTGTGCCACCGAAGACTGTCTGATACGCAGGTTCTTTTCATTTTGATTTAAAATGAAAATTCTTATTTTGTGTATGTGAATGTGGCATATTGTATGTGTCCATGTGTGTGCACACACATGTGCATGTTCTAGAGCTATTGCATGCATTTGGTGGTCAGAGAACAGCCTTGTGTAGTCACTTGTCTCCTTCCACCTTTGTGTAGCTGCCTTGGATTAAATTCAAATTCTCAGGCTTGGTGGTATGATCCTTTATCTGGTAAGCCCTCTTTCCAGCCCTTCATTTTTGTACCTGGCATTGATTTTTATTGTGAGTTAGGGGTTTTAATAGTTTGTTATGATTGAGGTTATGAAGAAAATCTAGCCTCACACAGCTAAATAGTTGGCAATGGCAGCACAATTGTATTGGGCTTTTTTGGTAATTGTTCTCTGTCTGTCTGTCTGTCTGTCTCTGTCTCTGTCTCTCTCTGTCTCTGTCTCTGTCTCTCTCTGTGTCTCTGTCTCTGTCTCTGTCTCTGTCTCTCTCTCTCTCTCTGGTGTGTGTGTGTGTGTGTGTGCTTGGTTTTCTCCTTTCATCTTCATGTGGTTCCCAGGGATTGAACTCAGTCCCTATGCTTAGTCATCATCTCACTGGCCTTGCTTTTAATTTTATTATTATTTTTTTTTAAAGACAGATTCTGTGTTGCCCAGGCTGGTCTAGGATTCAAGTGCTCAGGTGGTCCTTTCTCCCTATACTCCAAGTGGTAGTTTGAACTATATTAGTGCCAAGTATAATGGTGAACAACTGTAAAGCTGGTGCTCAGGAAGCAGATGCAGGAGGACTGTTGCAAGTTCCAGGTCAGCAGGGTCTATATAGTCAGTTCTATGCCAGCTAGAGCTGTGTAGTGAGAGTCTGCCTTCCCAATACCCCCCCCCCAACAGAAAATGAGAGGAAACGAAACCAGATACAAACCAAATACAAAGTAGTGACATTTTGATATGTTGTAAATAAAATCCATTTATTTCTTTTTCATTTGGAGTGAATCTTTTTTTTTTTTTGGTTTTTCAAGACAGGGTTTCTCTGTGGCTTTGGAGCCTGTCCTGGTATTTGTTTTGTAGACCAGGCTGCCCTTGATCTCACAGAGATCCGCCTGCCTCTGCCTCCTGAGTTCTGGGGCTAAAGGCATGCACCACCACTGCCTGCCTGGCCCATGTGTCATTTTATAACATCATATATTGGCCAACTGGAAAATTTTTTCACTCAATTATGCAGTTCTTCCAAATATTGACAATCTTCATTGTATAATATCAAAAACATATTCTTTATTGTCACCAGAAAAGATAACCAGGGAAATCTTTATGAAAGTAGTCATCCCTATAGTGGCAGAAATAAATTTTCCAAAATTCTTTGTTTAAAAACTAGTTCATTTTTGAGAAAATGGCCTGCCAAATCTTTGTCTGAACAGTCATAGCTTGTTAGTTGTTGCTCAAGTGGGAAAAAAATGGTGTTCTGTAAAAACAAGATAGTTAAGCTTACAGTTAAAAGCAGCTATGCAGGACGTGTTAGTGACTATAAGCACTTTGGGTGGTTGAGGTGAGAGAATAACATTGAATTAGAGGCTAGTCTAAGCTATATAGTGAGTACTATTGCAACCCTAAATAAGCAGACCCTGTCTGAGAAAAAAGATGGATGTACAAGTAGTTCTATGCAGGCAGCTGTTAATAATTTGATGTCGTGTAGGAATTCTTTATGCAAACCTAATTTTATCAGCGTATCTAAAAGACATTTAAAATGGCAGCATGGGATGTCGTACTGCACACCTGAATCTCAGTGCTAGTAACACTGAGGCAGGAGATCAAGTGTGCCAGCCAGGCCAGCCTAGACTGAATGCTAACATTCCCTGTTCCCCAAACAAAAAGCCAGGCCAGCTCTCCAGAGGAATGCATATCTCAAAGCAAATAGTTCAGAGCTCAGGAAGTTTTTGTAGGTGCTGGAGATTGAACCCAGGGCCTGATGCATGCTAAGAAGTAGCTTCCCACTGGACTATACTCCATCCCTGTGTTCTGGAATACCATAAATTATTAATGAATGAAATAGGGATTTTATTCTTAAATAATATTTGTTTAGACGGTCTCTGGGTTGCTGCTATGCTGAAAGATGATGTCTGAGATTTTAGGGCCCAGTGCTTTTTTGTCTAGCATGTCTACCAAGCTTTCAGTCAGAAATTCCAGTAGCAGTTATAAATATGATTTGGTGTGGAGATAAAATTGGAGAAAGATACACTAAAGAATTACTGCCTCAGAAGTGGATGAGATCACCCAGAGTGTGTGCATGGAGGAGAAAGTGGTGCTGGTAAGAAAGAGCAAAAGCAGTCACATATTAGGACAAATGTACTTGCAAGTCCAAGAGTGATGATTCCTCTGAAAAGGAACAGAGGGAGGGAAGAGGAGTGGCCATCCCTAAGCTGAAGTGGCAAATGCTCCAAAGCCAGAATTTCTTGAGCACTGAGATGCCTACCACAAGTAGGAACTTCCATAGCTGACAGTTGAATTGAAATAATACAGCTTAAGAACACAGTTTATTTAGTGTCTCCAAGGAAAACAAGACCCTGTTACTCCTGTTCAAGCTACATTAGCACCTTTTCTGTGCATGTTAGGTTCTCCCGTGCAAGTCTGCCTACAGAGTAATGAAATGGCATGTGTCTTGTCCACTGTACAGGAAACTTGGTTGAATGTAGAAAATTTAAAAATATTATATAAGATTATTGCTAAGGGTTTGTAGGAATGACTTAGCAGTTAATAGCACTTAACTGCTCTTGCAGAGGATCTATCTGAGTTCAGGTCTTGGCACCTATGTTGAGCAGATCACAGCTGCCTGTAACTCCAGCTCCAGGGCATTTGACAACTTGTGTCTTCCACAAGGACCTGAACATGGTATACACTACATACACACACAAATAAAAAAAATGAATCTTTAAAAAATTACTGACAGGGATGGCTCAGCAGTTAAGAGCACTGGCTGGTCTTCCAGAGTACCTGGGTTCAATTCCCAGCACCCACATGGCAGCTCACAACTGTCATTAACTCCTGTTCCAGGGGATCTGACATCCTCACATAGACATACATGCGGGCAAAACACGAATGTCTATAAAATACAAATAAATTATTGAAAATTAGTGTTTGGACATGTGTGTAAGGTATATAGGGAACAAAATGAATTTTTGTTATACTTCAGTCTGTCCTCAGACATCATAGTTACATGAAAATCTTGTGAACTGAGATGAAAAAACTAAGTTCTGGAATAGTTTTGGTCTTAAGCATTGTAGATAAGGGATAATCCTCTCCACACTATATTAATTCTCATCCTGTGGGTTGCATGTTTTGTGGTTTGATGTAGGTCAGTAGCCACCAACTCTTTGCCAGTCTTGTTTCACCTACAATTCCCCTTAATTCTTTTGTTTTGTATTACTTTGTAGCATATAGTATGTTATCTGTAATGTTAAAGTGAAGATGAGAATGCAGTATTTCTTTGTCGTTATATTTCCTCTGGTGTATTTTTTTATCAGTAGCTGGGACATAATGCTTGTAGTCTGTTTTTATGATGTGAACAGCTATTGACAGATGGTGAATTTTTTTATTAGGGATCTTAAAAAGAAGATGTTCTAATTCTATCATTTGATTGGCATATATTAATTGTACAAAATAATGGGTGTAATTATATTTTCATTTATGTATACAATTTACTGTGGTCATATTCAGTCCCAATTATTCCTTCATCTCTTCCTGTTGCTCTCCCCCATAATGACACTTTTATGTTCTAGCCTTTGTAAGAAGAGGGGGGGAGGGGGGAGAGAAATATCTAGATTCCTTATATTTCTTGCTGTCTTTACTGTCTGAAATAGTTCAAAATGGAGACTTTTTATTTGAGATAGGGTCTCAAATTTGCTGTTAGCAGAGGTGGATTCTCCTCTCTTCACTTCCTGGATCCTAGGATTATAATCATGTACCATTGTGCTCAGTAGAGACATTTTTATCTAATATTGGGTTACCTCATATTTACACATAGAGGCAGAAATATTTTATGTAAAAATTGTTTGCCAATTTTCAGAATAATGGCTCTTTGTTGTATAGTTGTGATGGGTTAGAAGATTGGAGCTGACAGTTTGTTTTGTCATGATCTTAGGCATTTAAGTGTATCTGGGAAATTTCCATATACTTTTTAGGAGATAAAACTTGCTCCTTAGGAATCAGATGTTTTTAGGATTGTAAATTGACAGATTTTTTTTGTTGTTCTTTTATTCTAGTTTACATTTATGCCGGATTCTCAGTGAAAATAAAAGCCATGACAGTTCGACCTACAGAGGTATGATTTTCAAAGTATAGCTATCATTTTTGGCCTGTTTATAACTATAAATCTCCATTAGATGTTGTATATGAAAACCAAAGTTATAAGAGTGCATGTAATAGAAAACCTTATGGTCAGTATTATAACTATAGTTACAATAAGACTACACATCTTGAATGTACACATTGTTTCATCTTCCTGACTTTTATAATTGAGAATTTATATATTTGTTTGGATTTTTATAGTTAGCTGTACCAGCCCTAAATGTGAGAGAAAGCTATCTTGGGAAGAAAAACTGTTTTGATCATATTTGCACTAGAAAATTTCCACACATCCTGTTCAGTGCTTTTGCTAAAGCTGGTTGTGTTCAGGTGGTATCTGGGGAGCTTGTTAAAAGGCAGTTGTCATGGAAAATATAAGCAAAGGAGTTGTTTGCTATATATCACAAATAGGATTTATTAAGTAAAATGTTATATAATTAAGCAGGATATGGATTTTACTTTTATGGGATTTTTCTGTTTAACATCCATTAGTTTAAAATTAGGCACACAGATTTGGCAGAAGAAAGCCAAAGTAAAAGCAGTTGTGTCTGATTTATAGTTTTTTCATTTGTAGTTTTTATTGAAGTTAATCCCATATTTTTTCAGTATGAAATCAATATTTTTATAACTAGTAGTCTATTTTAACAAAATTTATAAATTTTATTATAGTTACATTATGACAGTGTGAATAGACGGTTAAGAGCAGTCCTTTTCCTATAGAAAAATTTACTTTGGTTTTTATCAAAAAGTGAATATTACCTTAACTTGAGAGAATATACTTTATTAGAGGGAACATTTGGAGGCTTGAGGATAAAGTATTTTTAACAAATGAAACAGCAAGTTTTTGGATTTTGTTATTTTAGTAAGCTCTGTTTTTAAGACTTAAAATCTCAGCTGGGTTTGGTGGCTCATTCCTGTAATCCCAGAACTTCGGATGCTGAGATGTGAGTATTGTGATTTCAAAGCCAGCCTGGGCTATGAACTGAGTTCTAGGCCAGAGAGCTGTATAGTGGAACCCTGTCTTAAAAACAACCAACCAAATAAAAACCAAAAACCTAAAACCTTAATGTCTCTAGCATGACACCAACCAGATTTTTGCCTTGTTTATAAAATCATATAATTGGACTGTAAATGTACAGCTCAGGAATAGGGCACTGGCCAGTCAAATGGGAAATCCTATGTTCTGTTTCCAGTACTGCAAAAATATTTGTATGGTCACTCACAAGGACTTCAAGGTTTATATGCTTTTGTTTGTCTAAGTTAAGTTGACTGCTGGACATTTATGAAAGTTCAACTGGAAGGTAGAGATTGAGAGTTTGAAGCCACCCTGGGATACATTATGAGACTCCCTAAAAGAAAACATTCCCCAACTACTAGGTTTCATAATTTTTCTCTTCTCTATGCTTATTATTTATACTTCTTACTTAATTTTAATTTTTATGTGGATAAGAAAATTATTAAATGTATTATGATTGTGGCCTTATTGTCTGAATAACCAATATTCTCCTTTCATTTTCTGCTTTCTTCTTCAACACATAGACCCATTGGTTGATCAGTAGCTAAGATTTGGTCTAAGGCCCGTTTGGTTGTGCATGGAAGAAACTAACTTAATACTCTTTCTTTAGGATCTCCTTTGTTTTGTTTTGGAATTAATATGGGTAGTGTCTCGTACATATCCCTTATTATACCTTGGAATTAATTTCATTTCAGGCAGACAGTTTCCACTGTACATACTGTTCCATTTAAAAGGTATCCCTGCTTTTTAGCAATAAAACACCATTGTTGGCTAGATAAATGGTTTGGCAGTTAAGTGCTCATTCTGCTCTTTTGAAAGTACCTTACATCAAACACTTATATGAAAGTATCCCTCTGTTTTGTTGCTATCCTTTAAACTGCTGTTTCTAAAATGTTAGTACTAATGTGAAGTGTTTATTGAATTTTTTTCCTATATAAAGGCTGTATGTTTCCCTGCACATTGTGAATGGAAGTGTAAAGATTTCCAACTCTGGCCAGCTTGGTAGTTTTAAAGCATCATTCATTGTTTTTGGATTTTCACTGCTGTAACAAAACTCCATGACTAAAAGTAATTTGGGGAAGGAAAGGGTTTATTTCATCTTACAGCTTGTAGTCAATCATTGAGGGAAGTCAGGGCAGGAACTTAAGACAAGAACCTGGAGACAGAAGCTGATGTAGAGGTCATGGAGGAGTGCTGCTTACTGGCTTTCTCCTCATGGTTTACTTAGCTTGCTTCATCCCCAGCCCACAGTGAGCTGGGTCCTTCCACAGTAGTCACCAAGAATCAATTAAGAAAATATATGATAACTTGTCTAAAGGCCATTATGCTGGGGGGGGGCGCATTTTCTTAGGTTGTTAGTTCTTCCCAAGTGACCCTAGTTTTTGACAAGTTAGCATAAAACTAGCAAACGCAATTGACCCCTTGTCGACTTGATATACAAACACAACACCGTTAGACCATAACATTTCCTTTTTGTTCATCCCCAAGACCTCATATTAATATTACACATCACAGTATAACATATTCCAACCTTAAAATCTCAGTCTTTAAAAATTCAACACTTTAAAAGTTCAGTCCTGAACTATGCCCTCTGAATGTGTGTTACAATTATGTGGCTTGATTTGTTGCAGGGGTGCCTGACAGTGAGTGGGACCAGGACTTATCCTGGGTGCATGAACTGGCTTTTTGGAGCTCATTCCCTATGGTGGAATACCTTGCTCAGCCTTGATACAGTGGGGAGGGGCTTGGTCCTGCCTCAACTTGGGGTGCCAGACTTTGTTGTATCTTTAAGCCTTATGCCTTCTGAGGAGTGGGTAGGGGTGTGTGGGGGGCCTGGGGGTATGAGAAGGGGACAGAGGAGGAACTGGGGTTGGTATGTAAAATGAAAAATACATTTTTAGAAAAAAGTTCAGTCTCTTTAAAGCAGCCAAAGTCAATCCTCTCTAAAATATCCAAAGTCTCTAAAACATCCATAGTTTCCCAAATATCCGTTCCTCTTAAAAACTTTGAAGTCACTTTAAAAATTGAGTCTCTTCCCACAACCAAATAGGCTGAGCTTGGGGAATTCTGTAGAAGAGGGGGAGGAAAGATTATAGGAGCCAGTGGGGTCAAGGACACTGCAAGAAAACCTACAGAATCAACTAACCTGGGCTCATAGGGGCTCACAGGGACTGAACCAGTAACTAGGGAGCTTACATGGATCTGATCTAGGCCCTCTGCATATATGTTATGGTTGTATAGCTTGGTCTTCTTGTGAAACTCCTAACTCTATTTTAGTCTTCTGTGGTTAAGATTAGAATTCACAGAGCTCCAGTGAACAGTATACAACATACCCTTAAGGGACTACGGTTAATGATAATCAGCTGTTTTTGTTATTCTAAGTGATTGCTTTAAAAAGTCATCTGGATAATTTTAAATAAATAATATTGTGTGCTTTGTAAGGAATTTTATTAACATAAATGAAAAACATAAAATTGATCTCATTCCTACTATAACACCAAAACTTCTTTGTTTATATAGCTTATTTTAAATACAATGGAGGCAAAGTGTTTATAAGAACAGAATGTTTAAAATAATAAATTCTTCATAAAGAATTGATAATGTTTAGAAAATGAATTAATGGACACATTTCATTGTTAAATATCTTCATTGGCTAAAAGGACATAGACAGCATACTTTGATTTTGATTTTCTTCCTGTTTTATGATTAGTAGTCATATCAGGGAAGTTTTTTGTTTTGTATTTTTTTTTTTTGAGACAGGGTTTCTCTGTGTAGCCATGGCTGTCCTGAAACTTGTTCTGTAGACCAGGCTGGCCTCAAACTCACAGAGATCCGCCTGTCTCTGCCTCCTGGGTGCTGAGAGTAAAGGCATGAGTCATCACTGCCTGGCTCAGGGGAGTTTTTTTTTTTAAAGCATTTCTTTTTTCACTTGTTTTTTTTCCCCTGAAAAGAATTTTGATTTTTCCCTTAAAGGGGATTATAACTAGGTGTGTTTTAGTTTTTTTGAGGGTGCAAAGGGGTGGAACAAAATCTCATATAGCCAGGTTGGCCTGCAACTTTCTGTGTAGACAAGGATGGCTTTAAATAGCCTGATCCTCCTGCCTCTGCTTTCTTAATGAGTGCAGGGACTGTGGACTGGTTGTACACTACCATGCTTGGTGTTTGTGTGAATTTGGAAGAAGTATCCTTTGAGTAGTTTTCTATTTTGTCATCCCGGGAATTGAACTTAGGGTCTCAGAAATGGTAGGGAATCACTACCACTTCAGCTATATCTCCAGTTCCTAGGCTTTATTTTACATTTGTGTTTTTATTTACTTTATTTTTGAGAAGGTGTGTCATGTAGCCTAGGTTGGCCTAGAACTTGATGTGTGTGCTGAGGTTGACCTTGAATTGCAGATCTTTCTGTCTGCTTCTGTCTCCCAAGTGCTTAGATTATGGGCACCTGCCATTATGACCAGTTTTTATGTCATGCAACACAGGGCTTCTTGCATGGTAGGCAAGAACTTTACCAACTAAGTTATGGCAGTAGCCTTCTATTAATATTTTTTAGAGTTGCTTATTTTTGATCGTTTAATGTTTGGAAGAAGAAAAAAATATTATATGGAAATCAAGAAAAAAATAACTCAAAGGTGATCAGTCAGCTTCTTACTCCCCACTCCATAAAGTATTTTTTGTTGAGGAAATGGGGCCATGATAATAGTGTGGATTACTTGTAGTTGACCATTCCTATCTCTTTCTCCTTCTTTCTCTCTCTCCTTTCTTCTCTCTCTCTCTCTCTCTCTCTCTCTCTCTCTCTCTCTGTGTGTTTGTATGCAGTTTGAATTCTGATAGAAATTGAAGAGAAAGAAATTTAGATTTTTGGAGGAATTTCCTTAGGTTTCATTGTAGCCCTGAGATTGACTTGCGTACACTCTGAATATATTTAGACCAATCTGTGAAGGTGGGGAAATGTTTATGTCTTGTTGGGGTACAGTGTATTCATTTAAATATTTCTGAAGACTTTAGGAACACGGAGCAAATGCTTTAAAATGGGTTAGTGTGTCAGGCGTGCTTGGACATGTCTGTTAATCCAGTACCTGGGAGGTTGAGGCAGGATTATTCCTCACAACTTAATGAGACCTTGTCTAAAATTAATAATGGCTGGTGATGTACGGCACCTTAAGCCCCAGTACTACCACAAAAGAAAAAGAAGTATTGGAGAGGAATCAAAATACTAAACTATGTGCATAGTGATGTGTAAATATGTGAAATTTGCAGCCATGGAAAGAATAGAAGGGAGTGTTTGTTTAATCACTAGTCATATTACAGTAGAGAAGGAATAGTTAACTTTTTCCTAAACCCATTATTGTTGTTTTTGGAGAAATAAAAAGATAAGTTGCTAGAGAGAACTATTATAAATACATGTTTTATTGCTGATACTTATAATAATTGTGAGAGTTTGCCTTTCTTCAGAGACTCTCTTTACACTTAATGTCTTTTATGTTCCACAGATTTTCAACAAGCTCTCTATGAGTTGTCATACCATGTCATTAAAGGAAATTTAAAGCATGAACAGGCATCTAGTGTTCTTAATGACATTAGTGTAAGTATATATTTAAAACAGTAATTGTTGCACATCTCTTCACTTTTGATACAAAGATCTTTGAAATGTATAGCATGTATTTTGTCAAAATAATAGGTGTCTTAAGGTAATATTGGTAAGCCATTTTTGCTATACAGAAATTGACATTTTAGTCTTTCTGTGTGATTGTAAGGAAGAACAGGTTATACAAACTGGGTGAGCAAAACAAAAGTGCTGTAATGTTGCCAAAGCATTCTTAATTGACTATAAAAAAGTTTAAGTGCTTTCTTCAAATAATGTTAATTTTTGTAATTATGATTAAAATTTTCTTAAAATTAAGGATTAAATTATTTTAAATTGTGGTTGCATATTTCTGAAATTCAGTTTTTTATATCTGCTTCTTACTTATTAGAAAGCAACAGCTAGAATTTTTAACCCTTTAAGTGGCTAGTTCACGTTCACTTATATTCACTGGAGATTGCTAATGAATCGTGTCATTGGTGGTTTGATAATTTGAACCGGAAGATGGACTGCCAATTGTTAGGCTGTTTATCATAAACTCATAATTTTAATTTGTTAGGCTGGTTTTTAGATTTGTAAAAATTATTTGTCTAGCTTTTTTTGTTTGTTTTTTGGTTTTTCGAGACAGGGTTTCTCTTTGTAGCTTTGGAGCCTATCCTGGCACTCGCTCTGGAGACCAGGCTGACCTTGAACTCACAGAGATCTGCCTGCCTCTGCCTCCCGAGTGCTGGGATTAAAGTCATGCACCACCAACACCCGGCTTGTCTAGCTTTTCTAATAAGTATTGAGATGATATTGGGGAATTTGTGGTCACATTGTGAATTTTCTGTATGTTTTATGTTTCTGTAGTCAAATATTTTCTGTTGGAGAGTGGAATCTGCGTCATGATTTTTGTGCTTTTCTTGGGTAGTTTTAGTGTAAGTTTTATGTTTAGCTGTTGTGACAGTTCCCACCCCAGGTACATTTGAGCAGTAGAGATTTTCATCCTGAAACTGTCTCCAGTTGTTAAGCACATTGAAGTGCTATATTTCTTTGACAACTATTAATATTCTGTGTTGGAAAAACTCTTCTGTCTTTCTACTTCTGGTCTTTAATTAACCTATTTGTGTTTATAGCACTTGAAAAACTGACAGACAACTAAGATAATTTCATTTTTTAAATTGGGAGTTGATGCAGTTTTAGTATGTTTGTACAATTTGATAGTAATTATTTTTCTATTTATGAAAATAGTCTAAAGAAACTTTTTGTATACTTGGTCCTTAGTAGTTAGTGTCTCCTTTATTTTGATAACTTCATTATGCCTATGTGCTTTACACTGCATTGCCTTTGTATTGCTTTTCCATTGTAATACACATTTGTCCAGTGTATCTTAGCCACAGAAATGGATTTATGTGAGTAGCAGCTGCTGGCTTTTTCTTTAGAATTTTCTTTCTTACAGTCTCTGAAAATAGATGAATTTTAGAGTTGCTATAGTGCCAGAAAACTACTAATTACAGTAACTGAGCTGTACTAATGGGAAATAGCTCTAAAATTGATCATAGGAGTAGCAAGTCAAGAGGCAAATGTGGAATAATGCTGATGCTTTTATCCAGAAACAGCATTTGGGGTCAGTTGTTTTCCCAAAAGCTATAACAAGAGTGAATAAAGAAAATAAAAATAAGCCGGGCATTGGTGGCGCATGCCTTTAATCCCAGCACTCGGGAGGCAGAGGCAGGCAGATCTCTGTGAGTTCGAGGCCAGCCTGTTCTCCAGAGCGAGTGCCAGGACAGGCTCCAAAGCTACACAGAGAAACCCTGTCTCGAAAAACAAAACAAAACAAAAACAAACAAAAAGAAAATAAAAATAAAATTTGTTAGTTATTGCATCTTCAGAAACTCTTGAATTGTGGAATAATTGCTTTTAATTGATGTAATTTTTGATCTTCTGATACTATAATTTTTGCACGAGTCAAGCATGTGTGTAGAATTTATAAAGTTTTGGATGAAAATGTACCATTATTGATGGTGTTTCTTTAGGTGCATGTTAAGTATTGTATATCTTAGTGCTTTTCTGGTTACTGCCCTTTTCATTAGCTATTCTGTGGCAGGAATTTTAAGTAGGTGGTTCTCTCCCCCCACCTTTTTTGGTGGTGGTTTTTGAGACCAGGTCTCACTATGTAGCTCTAGTGAGTTTAGTTGACTCCTAGTTGATAAATGACCATTATTCTGAAATAATACGCTTTCTGTGTACTATTCTGGAATTTATTGTAAATCTATTTTTTCATTTAGGAATTTCGTGAGGATATGCCTTCTATTCTTGCTGATGTATTCTGCATATTAGGTAGGTTTTAAGCCTTTATTTCAGGTGTAGCATGTCCTTGTGGTAAATTCATGTTAAATGTTTTCTTTCAAGGTTTTACAAATGTGCAAATGTTTCTGCAAATCTCCAGTAATTTTAAACTTTATACAGAGTATAGTTTTGTAAATCAAGTGTCCTTACAATTAATTTATAAAGTAGCTTTGCAGTATAATTTTTTGTTTGACAATGTATATTTATACAAATTTGAGCTAAATGAGCTAATTTCAAGTAAGAAAGTCAAATTTTCTGACATTTGTCTGAGTTTCTGCACTTTTAATGTCATTTAATGAGATTTCACTGAAGAAACTTACTTTCCTGTTGTACCCTTTTGACTCCTTTCTTATTCATTTTTTTACATACCAACCAAAATTTTCCCATAATCCTTTCCTTCTGTTCCCCCCCCACCTCTCTTCTACCCCTATCCACTCCTCCTCATTCTCCATTCAGATGAGGTAAGGCCTCCTATGGTAGTCAACAAAGCATGTCATATCAAGTTGAGGAAGGACCAAGCTCCTCCCCCTGCATCAAGGATGAACAAGTCTTGCCACCATAGGGAAAATAGGTTCTTAATTTTAAAATGAGTAAGATTAGTCAAAGTAATAGAAAGTACTTTTGTGAGTAAGAAATCTGTTTTGTATTTGTCCAAAATAAGAATTCATTTTTTAAAAATAGGTATGTTCCTTTGATTTACGATTAAAGGTAGTGTCCCTCCAAGAAAAACATGGTTTTACAAATAATGTGTTTTACAAGTTTATTTGTCTAATTTTAGCTGTTGATTAGAATAACAGCATGGCTTCCCCAGCAGTTTTGTGTTTCTGTAGCTTTGAATACTAACAGATAACATTGCTGGGCTTTTATTACCTTTTAAAAGAATTATTTTAACTCATTTCTCTCCCTCTGTTTTATTTATTTGTTTATTTTTTTCCACAGGGTTTCTCTGTGTACCTCTGGCTGTCCTGGAACTCACTGTATACTAGGCTGGCCTCGAACTAACAAAAATCTACCTGCCTTTGCCTCCCAAGTGCTGGGATTAAAGGCGTGCACCACCACCTCCCAGCTAGCTCATTATTCTTTATTCCTTGAGTTAAATTGCTTATTGATACCTAGAGTTTGGTCTTAGCTGCTATGAATGCCTATGTATGCATTTTGAGAATGTTTCAGATTTCTGAACAGTGGCAAAGTTGGGAACAGGTTAAAATCCATGTGAGTGATAGATGGGAAAAACAGACCACCGATGAGCTGCCATGTGTCCTAGCTATCTTTCATTCTGAACTGTCCTGGTTTTAATGATAAAGTAAATCTTCATGGTATGTATTTGATTGATTTATGCAAAATTAAAAAAGGAACTTAATATTTCAAATTGATACTAACAAATAAATTTAGCACTGAACAAGTTCCAATTTAAAAATATTTGCTTATTTCCATAAATTCTATACACAGGAAACCAATTTATTGAAGACTTTTTTTCAACTTAATAAAAATCCTTTGCAGTCCAGATCTTTTATTTCTTTTTGTACATTAGGCCATGAATTCATAGGGGATGGGCTCCAGCATCTCAGGCTCCTTCCATTGGTCCTCACAAAGTGTGCCTCTTTGGGTGGTGCAGGCTGGAGCTTCAGCTGAACCCAGGTGCCCCTCTCCTTGGCTTCATTCTTTTGGTCATTTTCCTTCACTTGCTTCAGGAAGCTGTCTCTGCTCTTAGAGTGCTTGATGTGTTCCATCCGCACATTAATCCTCTTGGCAAGAATCTTGCCCTTAACTTGCTTGTTTACAATGATGCCCACGGCATGCTGGGTGACATTGTAGACTCTTCCTGTTTTGTCATGGTAACATTTATGGGGCATTCCTTTTTGAACAGTAGTGCCCATTCCCTTGATGTCTACAGTATCACCCTTGTAGATTCGCATATGTGTGGCCAAAGGAACAACTCCATGTTTTCCTAAAAGGCCTAGAGAACATGTAGTGAGTGCCCTTCTTCTTGCCCTTTGTGTTTGTCATTTTGGCGAGTTACTGGAAGATGGCTGCCATGGCCAAAAAAAGTGAAGACATGTTTTGAAAGATGGTGTTCCTTAATGGTGTTGGGAATATATTTTGTCTTTAGTAATCACCACTTATTAGCCTGTTCATTCTATTAGTTTTTCTTAAATCAACTTATTTTGTTAAAATACAGCTTTCCATAGTTATTTAGACATAGGAATTATTTCTACAGGTCATTGCCTTTTACTGTATATTTGATACTATATGATATGATATTTACAATAATAATATTTGGTTACTTTGGAGGAAATTTATTCTGTGCTGTCAAACCCATTTTTATAGGCAAGATTAGACGAAACTGTCCTTCACCTGTCCCCATACACACACTTCATCTTGGCAGGAAAGAAATGGTACAAGGAAGACTCCAGAACAAGAAGGGGAATTAGGATTTTAAGAAAGTGATCTAGCCAGAAATACACTGAGCTGAAATCTGGAATTTAGTTGAAGAGAGGGAGGAATGAAGAGCGAAGGGGTCTGTACCAGGTTGGAGAAACCCACAGGAACAGTTGGCCTGAACAAGGGGGAGCACATCGACCCCCGATGCTATCTGGGAGGCCAGTATAAGACTGATCCAGCCCCCTGAACATGGATGCCAATAAGGAGGCCTCTGTACTCCAGGGAGCCTCTGGAAGTGGATTAGTATTTTTCCCTGGTGTAAGAAGGGACTTTGAGAGCCCATCCCATGTGAAGGGATACACTCTGGCCCTGGACACATGGGGAAGGGCCCAGGCCTAGC